GAAGTAACAAACGAAAGGGGAATAGTAAATATTACTTTACTAGCCTATTTTGTACAACAGAATAATTAAATACTTATCAAAGTTTTTAAAAATGGTTTGACGTTAGGTCGTAGAAAAACATTATAAGTTTATTTATCGATAGTATTAAGTACAGTAAAGTTTAGTCGTAACTAAACTAAAGTAAAGAAAACAAAAAACAAACGTACACAGGTTACAGTGTTAATTTATTTCTTTATCGAACTTAGGCCTAACATAAGTTAAAGTTTTATAAAGTACGGCTTATATACAAGTGGATTTACACATTTCGTTGTCTACGATTACAATTCGTTTGTATTGTGCTATAAATGTTGTATTTAAAGAAGTACTGTTACGATAAAGATATATAATTTGACCGGAAATGGTATATATTATAAGATTTGATGAAAAGTGCAGTAAGATAGTTTTTATTGCAATATACAGCACCAATATTTGAAGAAAAAAAACCCACGACGAACAATTATTTAGACTTAACAAACAATCTCAAGAAATCTCCTCTGAAATAAAAGGGTATAAAGTGAATATAAAAAATAAAGAAAAGTAATATACAGCTTTATTGGGTGTCATTATTTACCATTAACCTAGATACCCAGATGAAAACCGATACAGCTAGAAAATGGTACAGGTTTTGGTAGTTAATCTTGTGAAATACAATGTGTTGAATTACAATCTATTATGTTATCGAGATAATACCAAGTCTTGATGGTCAGATCATTGTGAAAAATGTAGTTATTTAATCCATCTTGGTTGTCGGATTACGAAAAAGACGTTGACTTGTTGACAAGTTTCAGGTATTGTATAGTTTTGTGGAAAGAATGGTGCATTTTCTATTATCAAAATGAGGTTGAAGTGTCGTAAACATTTCCATAACAAAATATTATTCTGATATTCAATATATTACGATACTTGAAACTGTTTACAGGATTTTTGAAATATGATTTAGATATCGAGGAAATTCCAATAAAAGAAAGTTACCTATTGTGTTATAGAAGTGAAATTCTTACGCTGAAAAAGTTCGAACGGGAAGATAGGTAGCACTGAATTCTTAAAAATTTCAGCAGAACAGTAGCTGTTGGGTTGTTGAAATATGGTGGAAATTGTTATAATAATTATTACTATTGTGTCAAATAAGAAATATTGTGGAAGTTGGAAGAACAGTTACTGTGGAATTCAAATATACTTACTGAAGCAATCTCAGTAAAAATTGTTGTTTATTTATTAAAATTAGGAAGTGGGTTGGCCTTGTGTTGGAGTTCTGGATTTTGAAGCTGGCGAACCGGGTTTGAATCGGTGCGATAACACCTTAAGCCGTGAGTGTGTTATAAGAGTGACAGTAAATTCTTTAGCATGGATAATGATTGTCGTGTGCTGCTAGCTGATTGATTTCCCTCTCTTCAGTAGCTCAAAATTAGAAATGCCATACTAAAAATAGAAAATGCAGCTTATTATAATAAAATAATTTGGTTTGTTTATTTTGAATTTCGCGCAAAGCTACACGAGGGCTATATGCGCTAGTCGTCCTTAATTTAGCAGTAAAAGACTAGAGGGAAGCCAGCTAATCATAGTAAGATTGACCATCACCTTATAACGCCCTCACGGCTGATAGGGCGAGCATGTTTGGTGGGATGGAGATTTGAACCCACGACCCGCAGATTGCGAGTCGAGCGCCCTAACCACCTGACCATGCCAAGTGTAATAAAATAGTAATTGTGACATCCTAGTAGCAAATTAATTACATCGTAAGAATGAGTTATAGTTTCTGTGGGCATTGCAGTTGAAGAATACTTGACTTTGTATTGTCAAATTGGGATTTCAATTATTATGGAAGTTGAAAAAAATATTATTCATATTTGAAAATAGAAGCTATTCATGGCTTCCATCATCCGATTTTAACGCGAGTGATTATCATGCGACAAATAATTTAACATGCATGCACATTCACTTTTGCAACCACATACGTCGAGTCCATAACTGGCGTAAGATAATGATGGGTTAATTTTGGAATCGAAACAAGTTCGATTTGATCCGATTTAATGTGCGATAAAAATTACATTGACCAATGATAATTACTTTAAAAAGCACGTGGATTATTGCAGTTCCTGTTGTTACCGGCCCAATATGAGCTTTAAAATGCCTATATAGTCTATAGCCGAACGTAAAAACTGTATAACAAATCAAACAAAGACTACAAGGACAATAAATAAAAGACAAAATATGGCGTGGAGCTAGCTAGGCATGAATAGTAATATTATAAAACATTAAATTAAGAAATCAACAAAAGCACATATAAATACGACGATTTTGTGCATCAAAGGTTATAAAAACATTTTTTTTTATTTCAATCCAATGTTCAATGCGCTTTAACGATAGTTGTTTTCTTAGGGGTGGGGAATTCTACAATTCAGTTTCAGTTATTGTTATTTTTTTAAGAGAGGGTTAAGCTTTGAGGATGAAGAAATAAATAATGTATGCAATCAAATCTTAACTTTTTATACGAGTGTCCAAGCTGCTTTCTCTCTAGTCTAGTCTATCGCTGCAAAATTATGGACGGCTAGCGCAGGTAGCCCTTGAGTAGCTTTGCGCGAAATTCAGCAAACAAACATAGCTAGTGGCAAGATATGAGTTGTACGTCAAAAGCTGCACATGCATACAGAAAGGAAAGTTAAATCGTGATTTATTCGTTTATTCTTTGTCAATATTTGCTTTAAAATGACCTTAGCATCTTCGAGATAGGAACAATTACAGTTTAGTATAAAGGGTGGAAAACCTGTTGAATATCCAGACTTAGGTGAATTGACTGTATTGCTTTTGTTTTTATTTTGCTTCTTCTTCGGAAACTTCAATGATCCAATTTATTTCTATTCACTGAAGTAAGTTTGGGTTCTTAGCAAGTTTCTTAACGTTCGAGTAAAATGTGTCATCTTTTTATATGATTCACTCGCTTTCATTGGCACTTGCTTCCAACAAAATTCTCTAGAGATTATTGAAGCCTCTATGAAGTTCAACCCAAACACCCATCAATCACTGGGTTCTTTATGAGGTCGTAATTGACACTAAAACACGAATGAAACTATGTTTGTATGTGTATGTGTTACCATACAAATACGTACCGTTTACGATAACTATTACTCTTCAGGGATCGCGAGAAGAGTTTGTGGCGACTACGGATCACAGATGGCTTTACAAGAAACTAGACGATGTATTTACACTTGGGGATATATTCCAAAAGAGCCTTTACCTAACCCTCAAGAAACAGAAAACTCCTCTATGAATGCAATATTATTTGCTCTTTAAATATAGTACTTTGGGATGATCTTTAACCAAATAAATCCAAATCTTAGTCATAAAGCGTAACTTGTAATTGTATTTTTCCTAAACATGACTTTAGACTCTTTTGTACAGTATTTTTAAATGCCAGTTCGTTTTTGCTTGAATAGATTATATATATATTTGTGAAGTGAATGTTTGGTTAACATAAGTTTTGGTGTTCCAAATCAACTATTACTAGTAGTCTTATACATTTATGTTTGAAAGTTCGTTGAACTATCTTTATTATATGTCAGATGTTTGTGTTTAAACGTAACTGTCGTAAGTGATTACTTCACAGAAAATGCGTTATTTGTAACTTTAGTCATTCAATGGTAGAAATATCTTATTAGATGCGTATTTATATTTCATTGGAATTCATATATACTTCCACAAAGTATGACTGACTTCAGATAATATTTTCAAACCTGAACTAACAAATGTTACTTGTAAACCGTTTGTTTTGTTTGTAGTTAAGTCGAAGTTATACCGAATTGTAGC